ACTGTTTTTGGAAGTATAATTATTACTTTGAAGTCTATTCTTTTGAATGTATCCAGCTTTAGAGCCTTTTACCTTAAGAAATGCTTTTAGGCTACAGAAAACAAGGCTCAATATTTCCAGAAATATTGAAAGAGGGAGTGTTTTTTCATCTTGACGTGTGCACCAATGCTTTTAATGTTAGTGGGATTATTTTATTTTCTCTGTTGGCTGCCACCTCTCTCGACGAAATCTCCAAGTTTGTCTTGCTGTCTCTCCCAGACTCCTGGCAACCGCTGAGGTCTGGGACCTCCATCTGCTACTGGACACCTGACTTTAGGCAGCAACACAATGTCTTGAAGCCTTTGTTTTGTTTAGGTTCTTTTCAATCATAAAATGAGGATAATAATTACCCTTTCTACCTCTCAGATTGTTAAGATCTAATGAGATATTGCATGTTAAAGTGCTCTGAAAACCATGCATTGCCAAAAAAATGTAAAATTACCACTGTAGTCCTAAGTGAGGACTTCTGTTAAAGGGCATGTGCTTAAGGGATGTACCAGCATTAATTACAAAGGCACGTGGACCTGCAGCCTAATTATCTAGAAGAGGAGAAAATTCTGTAACTCAGTCATTTTGCATACCTGTCTTGAATTACAGGCATTGATTTTGCAACTGAGCTTTTGATGACAAGCATTTTTATCCAGATCATCATGATCAGTCTGCAGAAATATGGGAAGAATGGGGTTTTGAGGGCAGCTTCCTTTACAGTGCCATTTTTCATTCTCAGAACAGAGGGTGGCAAACTATAGCCAGCCGACCAAATCCAGGCCAAGAGCTGTTCCTACACATCCCACCAGCTGAGTGGTTTTTACAATTTTAAACAACTGGGAAAAAGAATCAAAAGAATATTTTGTGCCATATGAAAATCATATGGGATTCAGATTTCAGCGTTTATGACGTCTTGAATTTTACCAATAAAAAATTTGTGAAAATGCGTTTTCTCTTGTTCTGTAAGTACTACATTACTTTCTTGATTTTTGCCTGTTGCCTCACAAAGCCTAAATTATGTACTATCTGGCCCTTTACACAAAAAGTTTGCTGAACCCTGTCTTGAAGTTCATTTTGCACTTGAAGCCAAGGCACTCCAAGGGCCTCACCAAGGTACATGCTGCTGTGCCACGCAGAGACTCATGGGGCTGAGCCTGAACGGGAGGCATGTTCTATATTCCGAGAAGCTGAGGCTGGGGCATGGCAAGGGCAGAGGGGTCCACGGAGGACTCAGGATGGCAATGGCCAAAAAAAGGCAATGTGACAAAGAGGAGGGGAGGTATAAAAAGCCAGCTGTGGAAAAAACCAGCTCCCTAGTCCCTTTGGCAACGTGACCCAGGTACGGAGAGCTAATCATGTGTGTGTGGTCTCAGTTCTCTCCCCACGGGCAGTGGGCTCAACACTGTTCTGCTCTCCCCCACCACTGAGCTGCCTCGCACCGGACAGAAGGGAGTCTGCAATGCCAAACGCGATGCACTTGCTGCCCCCAGTGCCCCCTCCCGTGCCTCCTCGGCTCAGCTGCCCATCCTCCTCCCTGACGACCCTGTGGCTCCCGGTCCGAATCCACGGGCCCCATCAGTCTTCCCTCCCCTGCAGGCCTTTGGTTTCTCTCCCTCCCTGTGCCACGTAGCATTGTCCACCAATCTCACAGCCCCACACTCACCTCTTCACCCTGCCTTGAGGTTTAGCAGCAAGCCCTCCCCGGCCGAGGGCTCGTCAGTATGACCTGAGACCCCGCCCAGAGCCCTGGGTGATGTGCCGGGCCGTGGGCACCCACTGGCTGTTTGAAATTACCAGCCGGTGCTGCTGTCTCTACGGACTTCTCACACAGGCAAAGACGGAGACTTGGCTGAGGAAAATGGAGCCAGGCCCATGCCAGAGGAGATGAACAATCAGAGCAAGAGGAATATTTTTCCTGACACCTGCCAAGACCCAGTGCATGGAGCCGAGGTCTGGGAAACCTGGAAAGGTGGCCTCAGAAGTAACTGACTGGCCAGGCTGCACAAAAGCCAAAGTGCTGCAGCTCTGGCACCCGCACACCGAGGCTGTCCGGTCATCGTCAGGGTTTTCTCTAGCCGGCTTCACAGTTGTTAGGTATGTTGTGCAATGCTACATCAATTAAGCTGCTTAATGTAGCTTTGCTAAGAGTGACTGACCCGGGAGCCTGAGGAAGTGGAAGGCGATGTACAAACCTCCAGGGCTCAGTGCATTTAACGATCGGGGGACACTCATCAGCGCCCCCCTCTGATGAAGGGGAAAACCTCCAGGGGGACCGGGGAGGCCCACTGAGCCACCTGTGGAAGCAAGGACAGACCATCACTGAAGACTTTCCAACAAGTGCCCTCCCGGGAACACTCTCCCAGAAGAAAATGAAAGCTGATTTTACCACCAACTCCTTTAAGCAGAAATGAAGTCTTAGTGAGTAAAATAACCCTGATTAGCACAGCACTACACAGATGTCTCAAGGGTCTGATTTTGCAGCCCCTCTAGACCTTCTCTTCAGGCAGTTAAGCATTCAAAAGAAAATCCCTTCTCTTTATGTGGCTTCATCAGCTGCGTCATTTTGTGAAACAATTTTTAAAAGATGAAACACAATAACCACCCCCCCACACACACTTGAGTTTCTCTTATCTGCAGTGCCTCTTGAAATTTCCAACTAATCTTTAATATGCTTAATTTCTCCTGACCCCCAAACCTTAAATTAAAAAAAAGGGGGGGGGGGAAGGGGGTGACCAACCGTCCCTTGCATTACTCAGCAAGAGTGTGTGATTTGTAAGACTCTAAAATACCTTCCAGCCCTGCTTATTTTGACAAAACTACTTAACACTTCAAGCGATGAACTACAGTATAAAAGTATAATCTGCAGAGAAAACTTTAATCCTCTCCAGTAACCTATCTGAATCTCCTCAAACACATTTCAGTGTGTAGGCCTAGAGAATTAAGTCAATTATTTGATTTGAGAAGAAAGGCAATTAGGGCTCTCTCTTGATCTTCCTGGTTGAATTGTAGTCAGGGGCAGCCACCGCCCTCCACAGTTCCACCTGAGACCCCTGAGTTTCCCCGAGGTGAGGATTAGAGCTGCCAGTTTAGGGTCTTGCTGCACTTTCATTATGAGGTGTTTTATCTGGGAGTTTCCAACTGTAATGAGCTAATATTCAGCATACAAATGATTAGCTGATTGTGGGGTTTTGTTTTTTTTTTAAATTTCATTGAATGCTTCTTCCTTCATTGGACAAATATTTCAGCAGAAATAGAAGAAAACCTTCAGAAGCAGACATTTGGGTGATGAGATGACTGTGTTCATTCACCACTGGGTTATTGGCAGAGATATGACAAGGATCTCCTCAAAAAGAAGTCTCTCCTTTTCTTATATTTTCAAGGCCATTGATGAATCCAGGATTCTTTCCTTCTAGTCCTGCTATCTGTAGAGAGGACGGATGCCAAGACCACCTTTTCTTACAAGCACCACCTTACATTTTTGATTAACAAATGAAGAAACCCTAGAGAGGTCTTCTCTCACTCCTTTCTCGTGTGTGTGTGTGTGTGTGTGTGTGTCTGCAAACACATGTACCTTGAGGATGTATGTGACAGTGTTGTCTATGACAGCAACAAATTGCTTACAACCTATGTATCTTTAATTAGTCAATAAATTACAGTATATCTATAATTGGTCTATAAGATATGTATTAATATGCAGCCATGAATGCAAAGGGAAATGTGGATTCAATACTGAGACATATGCATGATAGTAATTAATAAAAAAGAAAGCACACACACACTGCATGTACAGTTAAGGGACAGTGAGTTGCCTCTGTGTATGTTATATACGCATAGAAGCTCTGACAATATAAGAAAATCTCTGTGTGACACGATCATGGATGGTTTGTTTTTCTCTTCTGTTTCCAAAGTAACATTTGTTTCTTTCTCCTGCTAATAAAAGCAATATTCTCCAGATTTTCAACAATGTGTATGAAACATGCAATAGTTACATAAATAAGAAACCCTCCAGATACCTGCATGCCTCACTCCCTTTCCTCTTTTTCAACTGAACTCAAATGATACCATTTTAGGGAGATCTCCCCAACAACCCAATTGGAAACTGCAGCCTAACCCACCTCCTTGCTTTATTTTTGGTCATCTATATCACCACGTGATGTAACTTACGTCCTACTTCTGTGTCTGTTCCCAGTCTTCCTCCGCTAGCACGTGAGCTCTCCAAGGGCAGACAGCTTCACTTTGTTCACTGCAACAGCCCCAGGGCCTAGCACAATGACTGATGCATAGTACGCACACACTATTTACTTGCTAAAATAATGAATGAAAACACATTCCTTTTACAAAAGAAGTTTTGTCTTTATTAATAAGAAACCAGTGATGTCCAGTTTAAAATAACATTTTTTTAAAAGTCATGTCTTTTTATGTAATGTTAGTCCTTTGTTGCAGGGACCACTTTGAGCTGATGACAGCTATGAACCCTCTTCTTCCTGCTTCCACCCCCTCCCAAAACCCAACATACACAGAAAATCAAATACAGTTTCAGGAGGTTCTGAGACTTCCCTGAAGTCCACGTATATGCTTCTTAAAGGGTCCACTGATTCGACTGTAAGAGCACCTGACTTCAAATGTCATCTGTCTTACAATCACGATTTCTCCACTATTCTAATGATCAAAGAATATTTGTGACTTTACTATCGGTCTTTCCCCCTTCCCATTAGCCAGTTAAACGCTGAAGGGATTCCCTCTGCAATGGCTTCATTGCTCAGTGAGGGTTAAGTTCAACATCTGCAGCTGAGAACACAATGAATATCTAGATGAGAGCTAAAAAATCTAGTTGATAATCCAGAGATTTCAAAAAGAATAGATGTTAACAGAGTGTAGACCAAATATGTGGTAAAGTGTATTTTTTACTTCTCAGCTGAAAATCGAGAGTTACAATCTCAGAGATAGAAAAACTGGATCTATTCCACACAGAATATGCTTTTTGAATTTTATTGTTTAAAGAACAAAATAAAAGGGAATATGCACATCTACCAAAGTGAAGTTTTCCATTAAATAGAAGAGAAACCAAATACTTGGTAATAAAGACTACCCAGCTAAAAACAGCGTATTACATCAGTAAAACAACAATAGTGATTTGACTTTGTGTTTTATTTCAATGGGCACACTTCATTCACTGTCTGCAGGAAAACTAGGCTAGGTCTCAATGGGCAACAGTCACAGTTATTAAGCAAGTAAATACACCACCACTTCCGTGCCCTCCTTTATTTCTTTATGTCTTCAGTCTCATCTGGCTCTTTCTCTTGATGCTCTCTTTCCCACCTCATTTCTTTTAACTCTTGTCTGTATTTCCGTTCAATGAACCGCTTCTGATGGGCCATCTGGGGAAAGTTATCTGACACGAGGAGATATATTTTATACTTAATAAAGGAGAGCCACTAGTGTACAGAATGATGCAAACTGACCACACACACAAATAAACATATGTTCCTACGAAATGTACAAAGTGTACTTTGCAAGGCAAGAGACAAAAAATCATTTGTTTTCTTCCCTTATTCTTTTATTTTTCAGAAACATATTGGAAGCCAGTTTAGCACCCGATTCTAGGTTTCAGTATCTGATATGAACTTGAGTGTAAAAAGCACCAAAAGATACAGAAATGCTAGAACCCAGACATGTAGTTTCAGAATGATTCTGGGTAGGCGCTTTAACATAGTTGTCTTAGCAAGAAGTGATTTTTCATGGAGAGATTAAAGGATATAGTAAAATGGAGCCGGGTATTTTTACAAAACTCAAACCAAAAATTTGAAACAAATAATGCTATTAGTATACCATTATTTAGCAAGAATTCAAGTTTCTGAAAAGCACAAAAAGAGATCATATGGACAAATGAAGACTACATTCTAAGTCATTATTTCTGATAATTCTATTTTTAAAGTTTACCATGAGAAGCCTATGGCTATATCAGCAACAGCAACTCAAGTAGTGTAGTTTTATTTGGTTAAAGGAAACATGTCACTCAAGGGTATGGTTTAAGCTGTTTACTTTGATACTTGACCCTGTGCAAGGGTGTTGACACAGTGGAAAGCCTGATTAACCCTTAAAAAGTTTACAGTTCGATTGTCATTTGTGATACATAACAAGTGTAGCAATGGAGCAAAATATCAAGTAAGGAACAAGAAAAAGTCATGTTACACAGTCAACAAACACATACTTCAACAACATCACTTCAACAAAAGGACGTGCGCCTAACTGAGAGCGACACGGGAAATGACGCTGTTCTGCCTAACCGGCTGTGGGGCTGATACAAAAGAGGTACTAACTACTTCATATAATAAAACATGGAGATTCAGAGAGGCAGGAAAGCATGGCATGTTTGGGGAAAAGCAAGTTTACTTTTTGTCAAGGTTGAACAGTAATAAAAGTAGATATACAGCCTGTTCCTAACTTCCTCCTTCCCCCTTTTATAGTGTCCCATCGTATCTCCAGGTGGGAGAAGGGACAGGAACGAGGTGGTAGGAAAAGTATCTGAAAGGCAAGTGGTCAGTCAGTAAAGATCTTATATATCTGAGAGGCAGTGACTGATTTTAAACAAGAGGAACAGAATGACATCTGCATTTTAGAAATAAAGCAGTAATAAAATCCTATTGCTTCAGTGATAATCAAGTTGGTTCCTTATATATTGTTAAAACACAGGTTGTCAAGTTTTAAATGTACTTTTCAGAAATAAATCCAACAAATCCAAAAAACTTAGCTGTAATACAAGTTTCTATAAAATAAACCTTACTTCCTCTGTAAATTCTACTGTAAAACTTAATTTCCATTGAAAAATATCCCACCACCAGATCCAGCCATTGATAAACCTTTAGAATATATCCTTGCCAGTGTTTTTCCTATGAAGTTTCACTGCACACATACATATACACAATGTAAATTGTGTATGTGTTAAGTACTTAAAATCACTCCCCACCCACCGTTATGTTGGGAGAGTATAGTATAGGTATGTTTTTATGGGTATACTTTTTTTCACTTATTCTAGTATAAGCATTGTCCTCTACCATTCTTGCAAAAATACTACTTTAATGATTGCAAAATATTACAACATTTGGATAAATCAAGTGTTGGTTAGCTGCCCACATGCTAAAAACAGCCCTCTCTCCACCTGCTTTTTCAAAATAACATTTTATTAGAACACAGACACAACTGTTTGCCTACTATCCACGTTTATGGGCCATAACAACAGAGTTGAGTAATTATGACAGAGACCATATGGCCAGCAAAGCCTAAAATACTTACTGTATGGCCCTTTACAAAAAATGTTTGTCAACCCCAGGGATACCATAATTTATTTAAACATTTCCCTACTGTTAAACATGCAGTTTGATTTTTGTCTTTTTTGGCTACCATAAATCAAGTTATCGGTGTTATCATGCTATGGCCATCTAAGGAGACAACTCCATTATGTCACTCCTGCACACATACATATGCAGTATGTGTGTCGAGGTCAGTCTCAGAATAGGCCCTCTTTCTAGTGCTGTTTATTACTGAAAACAAACCAAAAAACTCCAAAGATAACCCTTAACAATGTTATAGGTGGAAAATGGAATTGCATTTTCATTTCAATGTGACTGTGCTTTCATACATAATGGATGAAAATGTTCCCCAACAGTCACCTTAAACGTTTCCCTGAACACTGGGCCCTGGTAACACTAGCTTCTGCCTCCACTAACTCCTCCTCCTCCCCCGCCCCAGGAAGCTACTGCCTGCTGATTTCCACTTGGCCGTTGGCCCTCTTGCCTCTCCTGGAATCTCCCACAGCTGAGGATCCTGGGCCTCTCTTCACTTAGCTCCCTGCACTTCACTGTCTCCCACATTCAGCTGCTACTTGAAACATAAAGAATTGCACTGTCATGTTTTGCTCACAAGTTCTGCTGTGCAGCACAATATATACCTCAGAAGAAAAACTCCTTGCAGTGAAGCCTTCCATTTACCAAAGACTACACAGAATGTTCATTCGGAGGCAGTAAGTATCTTCCTCTCATACCTCGGTCCTTTCCCTACAGTCAACTACGTGATTGCGGCTTCTTCAACCCAGCTATCCCACACTCGGGACTCTATCCCACAGAACTAAAAGTGCCAAAATATAGACATTTAATTTCGACAGTGATAAAAAAAATCCAGGAACAATGTCCACCATTAAATATGGCACATCAATAGCATGAAATACTATGTAGCCATTAAGAAAGAATGAATTGGAGCCACTGCCTACAGCCTGAAGGGCTGCCGGTGATGTACTACTGAGCAAGAAAAGAGAGATACAGAGAAGTATCTAGATATCCCATTTTAGTAAAACAATGGCCCAAAACTAAAAAGAAAAAACCTTCACATGCATAAGATTTTAGAAATATACAGAAACATAAAGAAAGAAATATACTCGGTTATTCACATGGATTACCCAGGCTGAGAGTGGGACTCTAAGCAAAAAAGGAAAATGAAAATCAAAAGGCATTCAAGAATAATATCTTTAAAAATTATAAGCCCATTTTATACATATCTTATGTTCTACTACACTCTGTGTGGAGAATAATGATGAAGAAAAGAAGATCACATTTATCGGTACTTACCATTTTTCTACTTCCCTGTTTTCTTTCCATAAAACACTCATTACATTATGAACATATAATTATAGAAAAAGAGATAGGCTTACATTTTTCAAGTGCATCCATTGCCGCTCCCATTTCTGCTTGCTGAATACTATCAAATAAAATAAAGGCAAGGTATACTTTAATTTTTTTTCAAAAACACAAGGTATTGCTACAAATTATTCAGGCCAATTTTCGTGTTCAGTGTGTAAAATTTTTATCTAATTACTTCTACAGTCACATACTGAATTGCATAGACTGAAATATACAGAAGGGCCTGAAGAAATGTCATTTATTTGCACACTGCCTGTTAAGTTATTTGTCCCACATTTTTAATACTGTAATAAAATGCCTTCCATTTATATTAGGTCTGAAGTATTTCTTACTTAACTTGAACATCCTCAGTGTAAAGTTTAAAGAGGCAAAGAGTAAAAAATCTATGTACAGACAGACTTCCAAGTCACTTCTCAGTTTAAGATAGCAATTGGAGGGTTCAATGAAGTTGGTAATATACATAAATTCTTCTTACCTGAAAATGCTACCATTTCCATAAAGCTCAAGTGAGCAGTGGTAAGAGACCAGATGTCTCTTGAAATACCTGCAGCAGTACTGGGTACTCTGCTGGGTAACTAACACTGGGCAGACCTTCCCTGTGCACAGTAATGTGATTTTCTCAGGGTGGCTGAAGCCCCTTATGCAATGGCATTCACACTGTCCAAGCCAATTCTCAAGTCTGGCGCTGGACTTGGTGGGGACATTAATCCTTAGGATTCACTTTGCTATTACCCTCAAACACTCTATACTCTTAAGTAAAAATGACAGACTGCAGAGTTCGAAAGTACCAACTAGGGACTTCACAGACACACAGAATGTTCATTCGGAGGCAGTAAGTATCTTCCTCTCATACCTCGGTCCTTTCCCACAGCCTATTCTTTCTCCCTTGAAGTAAACAGCCACAGTGTAGGTTCTAGCATGGGATGGCCCCACTGTCTGCAGAGTCCTGAAAGGGAGAAGAAAGCACACTGATTAGAGTGAAGTGTTACTGAACTGTTATTGCTAATGCCTTACTCCAAGTAAAGCCACATACTTACTGCTTAGACAGAAGAAGGTAAAAATAGCAAGAAAATTAAAGAAATTTTGATATGCTAACCTGACAAATATAGAGAGATTTTAAAGAAGGAAATTTTTTAAATGCTACACTGGATTTTTATAAATTTTTTTCCCAAAGCATTATAATAAATAGTATTTGAAGCATAACAGTGAAGTCTAAAATGTTTTTCAAAAATTTCAAAGCATGTATATTCCAAGCATCATACATAAACTCAACAAACTTTTATCAGTGAAAAGTTAACCATTTCAGTCTGTTTGTTGTTTTGCAGTGCTAACCACAGCTAAAAATGATAAATATTTGGGTAATACAACTCAAGCCACATCAGAATGCTTTCACATCCTTTATGGATTCTTTCTAATGTCTCGTATCTTGTCGAAAAGATCAGAAAAGGTATTTAATTTCAGAAACATCTCAGATCATTTCAAAGGTATGCTACAATGCCAAGAATACAACACAACGGCGAAAAAAACAAAGCTCCAGGTACTCTGGATTTTAATGACATGGTGCAGATTTCAAATGCGGTAAAACTGATAACTTCATGGCAAAGGGAAATTAAAAGTAGCCAACAAAGATAATGGAATGAACACAGTCATCTTGAAACAAACTATGTAAAACAACCCCATAATCTTGATAAAAAAAGAAAGCTTATTGTGTACTTTCATTTGGGGGATTTATGAGAACAGAGCAGAATCATTTCCTTTGTGTTTATATACTCCATGGGATGAAAGTACACAGACAGCTTCTTTAAGGCAGCACATATTACAGTAATCATGCCTGAGCTATGAGACGTTTATCCTCTTCATTTTATTTATTGAACCTTAATTATCACTTTGATGAGGAAATAGTTTGAGACTTTCATGTAATACAGCTTGGATATTTATTATGCCTATTAGGCACATACTAAAGTACTATTTCTAAACATTTGGGATTTTTCCCAGTAAGTAAAGGAAGCACTGTTCAGCAGTGACAGCTTCTTGGGACAATTTATACTAGCTTGCTGTGGGGCAACTCAACCCTTGGCCTCAGTTTTTCTTTTAGTGAAAAAGACTACATAATGTATCACTGACTATTAAATAAAAACATATGAGGAATTCAAAATTTCTTCCCACCACTCTGGTATTTAACCTTGAGTATCTGAAGTTTGAAAAAGTCCGTGGGAGGGGGGCTTTCATTCCATATGGAATACTCACACAAATGTGTGTGCTTGCAACCACATGTGTGCATAGATAAGAGGTAAACCAGTAGTGAAAATAGATGTTTAAACATCTGTGTGTGTGTGTGTGTGTGTGTGTGTGTGTGTGTGTGCACGCATGCGCGCACAGATAGGGGGTAAACCAGCAGTGAAAAGAGATGTTTAAATATCTTTAAAAACACATGTCTACACAATACCTTGAAAGGCAACACACCTATGTGGATAATCTTTCCCTTTTGTAATTCCTCTTGGAACCCACCGTCTGAATCAGTGTATGAGTGTCTCAAGATAGTCATTTTTCTACTTCCCTGTTTTCTTTCCATAAAACACTCATTACATTATGAACATATAATTATAGAAAAAGAGATAGGCTTACATTTTTCAAGTGCATCCATTGCCGCTCCCATTTCTGCTTGCTGAATACTATCAAATAAAATAAAGGCAAGGTATACTTTAATTTTTTTTCAAAAACACAAGGTATTGCTACAAATTATTCAGGCCAATTTTCGTGTTCAGTGTGTAAAATTTTTATCTAATTACTTCTACAGTCACATACTGAATTGCATAGACTGAAATATACAGAAGGGCCTGAAGAAATGTCATTTATTTGCACACTGCCTGTTAAGTTATTTGTCCCACATTTTTAATACTGTAATAAAATGCCTTCCATTTATATTAGGTCTGAAGTATTTCTTACTTAACTTGAACATCCTCAGTGTAAAGTTTAAAGAGGCAAAGAGTAAAAAATCTATGTACAGACAGACTTCCAAGTCACTTCTCAGTTTAAGATAGCAATTGGAGGGTTCAATGAAGTTGGTAATATACATAAATTCTTCTTACCTGAAAATGCTACCATTTCCATAAAGCTCAAGTGAGCAGTGGTAAGAGACCAGATGTCTCTTGAAATACCTGCAGCAGTACTGGGTACTCTGCTGGGTAACTAACACTGGGCAGACCTTCCCTGTGCACAGTAATGTGATTTTCTCAGGGTGGCTGAAGCCCCTTATGCAATGGCATTCACACTGTCCAAGCCAATTCTCAAGTCTGGCGCTGGACTTGGTGGGGACATTAATCCTTAGGATTCACTTTGCTATTACCCTCAAACACTCTATACTCTTAAGTAAAAATGACAGACTGCAGAGTTCGAAAGTACCAACTAGGGACTTCACAGACACACAGAATGTTCATTCGGAGGCAGTAAGTATCTTCCTCTCATACCTCGGTCCTTTCCCACAGCCTATTCTTTCTCCCTTGAAGTAAACAGCCACAGTGTAGGTTCTAGCATGGGATGGCCCCACTGTCTGCAGAGTCCTGAAAGGGAGAAGAAAGCACACTGATTAGAGTGAAGTGTTACTGAACTGTTATTGCTAATGCCTTACTCCAAGTAAAGCCACATACTTACTGCTTAGACAGAAGAAGGTAAAAATAGCAAGAAAATTAAAGAAATTTTGATATGCTAACCTGACAAATATAGAGAGATTTTAAAGAAGGAAATTTTTTAAATGCTACACTGGATTTTTATAAATTTTTTTCCCAAAGCATTATAATAAATAGTATTTGAAGCATAACAGTGAAGTCTAAAATGTTTTTCAAAAATTTCAAAGCATGTATATTCCAAGCATCATACATAAACTCAACAAACTTTTATCAGTGAAAAGTTAACCATTTCAGTCTGTTTGTTGTTTTGCAGTGCTAACCACAGCTAAAAATGATAAATATTTGGGTAATACAACTCAAGCCACATCAGAATGCTTTCACATCCTTTATGGATTCTTTCTAATGTCTCGTATCTTGTCGAAAAGATCAGAAAAGGTATTTAATTTCAGAAACATCTCAGATCATTTCAAAGGTATGCTACAATGCCAAGAATACAACACAACGGCGAAAAAAACAAAGCTCCAGGTACTCTGGATTTTAATGACATGGTGCAGATTTCAAATGCGGTAAAACTGATAACTTCATGGCAAAGGGAAATTAAAAGTAGCCAACAAAGATAATGGAATGAACACAGTCATCTTGAAACAAACTATGTAAAACAACCCCATAATCTTGATAAAAAAAGAAAGCTTATTGTGTACTTTCATTTGGGGGATTTATGAGAACAGAGCAGAATCATTTCCTTTGTGTTTATATACTCCATGGGATGAAAGTACACAGACAGCTTCTTTAAGGCAGCACATATTACAGTAATCATGCCTGAGCTATGAGACGTTTATCCTCTTCATTTTATTTATTGAACCTTAATTATCACTTTGATGAGGAAATAGTTTGAGACTTTCATGTAATACAGCTTGGATATTTATTATGCCTATTAGGCACATACTAAAGTACTATTTCTAAACATTTGGGATTTTTCCCAGTAAGTAAAGGAAGCACTGTTCAGCAGTGACAGCTTCTTGGGACAATTTATACTAGCTTGCTGTGGGGCAACTCAACCCTTGGCCTCAGTTTTTCTTTTAGTGAAAAAGACTACATAATGTATCACTGACTATTAAATAAAAACATATGAGGAATTCAAAATTTCTTCCCACCACTCTGGTATTTAACCTTGAGTATCTGAAGTTTGAAAAAGTCCGTGGGAGGGGGGCTTTCATTCCATATGGAATACTCACACAAATGTGTGTGCTTGCAACCACATGTGTGCATAGATAAGAGGTAAACCAGTAGTGAAAATAGATGTTTAAACATCTGTGTGTGTGTGTGTGTGTGTGTGTGTGTGCACGCATGCGCGCACAGATAGGGGGTAAACCAGCAGTGAAAAGAGATGTTTAAATATCTTTAAAAACACATGTCTACACAATACCTTGAAAGGCAACACACCTATGTGGATAATCTTTCCCTTTTGTAATTCCTCTTGGAACCCACCGTCTGAATCAGTGTATGAGTGTCTCAAGATAGTAACTCTGCTTCTACTTCAGAGTCAAACCTTCAGTTTTTAATTATAACTGGTGTTATGTGTATAGTGACCTGCATTCCTTGTGAATTCCTTTTGGCTACCAAAGGCTAAAGATTTGTCACTAAAGATATTCAAAAGTACACAGCAGCTTTTGACACACATGCCGAGAAGAACAGTTCCAAATATATGAGTTAACACAGCAGCAGTGAAGAACTTCCCTGCTTTTTACAGTGACCATCTGAGAGACAGAGTCTCTCTGTCTGGTTATAGGGATTGAGGCCAACAGCGTTTCAAAGCGGAGCAGAGACACCCAAATATGGTTACAAAAAAGCATACATACGTCAGCCCAGCAGAGGTCCCAAGAAATAAGAAGACAAATATAAAAATATAAATAAAAATTGTTCCATCTGAATATTTCTTATCTTGATTTCCTAACCTTTCCTCCCAGGGAAGAGTTCACAGGGCATTTTAAAGATGGGAGAAAGCACAGATAATCAAACATGACTCACTTACTTAGAGCTAAAAGACTCTCTGAGAGACCCAAGAGTTTCAGTGTTGGGCCCAGAGAAGGGGTCAAGAAGTCTTAATCCAGGGCCCTTGTCACAATTACCCTACAATGATTTCAGTTTTTCCTCCAGACAAATGCAGCATCAATTCCTAGCCCACTGGATCCAGTGACCTGTGAGCAATGAGTACTTACTTGTACAGAGGAATATCTGGTTCTTTTCCTTCTGTCCTAAGTGTCAAACAACACTGCTGAAGCTGGGACTTGGGATCATTCCAATCCTGATTCAAAATGAACTCCTGTGAAAAGTCCCCAAAAGTATTTAGTAATGTGTTCTGGAATTACCAAGCATAAAGCACACAACCAATTTAAATTTTATATGGGCTTACTTTTAATCGTGGAAAGAAACAAACATTCATGAAAGTATGAACATATTCCAAATCCTTATCGATGTACAGTGCTGCAATGAATGCTGGAAAAGAACATTTAAAAATAAACTATAATGCATTGCCATTGACCAGAAAGAATAGTAGGAGACCTAGACTTTTTAAGAAACATTTTAAAAAGATTTTCAATTTTAGGTCCTTTTCATTTTTAGCATTACCATTTCACCTTTCTTCAAACAAGAACTACTTTTTATCACTCACATTAGAAGCAGCAATATAGATGTGTGATTAAGGTGCAAAATCATAGAGTAAAAGGACCAAACTACATTTAGCTAAAGGCTAAATGAATAGTTAGTTAAAATAATACATAAAATGCTGTTGTATAGCAGGGAAAGAATGGTATCTGGGAACATAGCTAGTTTAATGTCAGGTAAATCAAAATAAAACTTGGAGATCAGGTATGACACCAGAATGAGCACATTCTTGGGTTCTCCATTCTCAGCACCAATCTTGAGGTGATCACCCATTTACAAGATCTGTTTTACATTCCAGGAACAGAAATAGGACAATCTGTAGACTCAATCTGCCCAAACAGAGAAAAACATTACTGGGCTTAATGACAATGTAACAGAATCTTCAACTTCGCAAAACAAATGGTGATTCCAAAGGCGACTTCATTAAAAGGTACCCTACCCAAGTAAACAAATGGTAAGTTTTTAACATCAGGAATAAAAAAGCTTTCATTGAGCTAAAAAAGTAATGCCAGTGAGTCTGATCACTCAACTTAATTTTTTGTAATTTTAATCTTTAAGCTGCTTTTCTTTAATAGAAAAAGAAGTAATTTTAAGATCATTAGATTGCCTTTGCACTTTGTAAATAAGTTGGTTTTGCATGGTAGACCTAAATATTTGTATATAATTCCAATTGTCAAAAATACTGTAACATTGAAAGAAACATTCCAAGGCCAGCAAACAACCTACTTATTTTCAAAAGTATCAGAAACAATAAAATTATGTGTATAATCCTTTAGTTAGCTATAATAGGATTATTTATAATGCTACCACACTATATCCGAAGCTGCAAAAGATAACACTTGTCCATCGAACTTTGAGCTCATTCAAAACAAGGGATATAATACTTTTAGTATCTAGTGAATAAAATGCCCTAGCAGAAAGGCTGTTGGGGGCAAAAAAAGCTATATCTCACTATTACCAATTTTCATATTCTGTTACTGTTTCATACAAAGGGATGTCACAGCTGAAGATGAGGATGCAGGGGTGCAGAGGCAGGGAAGGGGGGACAGTCCACATAAAATTCCCTATTCACATATCTTAATTCCAAATTATTCTCCTTCAAACAAGCTTTGAAGAAAAGCATAAATAAAAATCAAAACAGAAAAAAGGTTTCTTTGGTAATAATGATAATAAAACATAGTAATAATGAGAAGAAGGAAAAATGTTGGTCCGTTTGATCTAAACTTTGAATCTGCAGGTTACAGAAAAGCTTTACTCTGTAGGACTCACATTCCAAAAGGTCTGCCAAAGTCTTGGTCCTCAGGGCCACGGGCCTCTTGGTCTTGTCATTGGTGATGGCATATTCCTGCATGCCCAGCTCCTCCGCTACCTTGGCCTGAGTTCTATTATTTACCAAGGAGCTTCGTAATAGCTGGCAAAAAGGAAATGAGGTATATTTAGAAAACCATTTCACTTGTGGTCTCTCTCTTGCTCTTGTGTTGGGCCCAAACAGTCTGAGGCCATCTCACTGACAGGATATCAAGCTAAGTGACAAGTCCTCAGAAACTAGCCCCAGACAGCTGTGACGGTCTCCACACACTTGTAGCTTCAGTAACCTACTCTGCTCCTGGTCTTAACTAACTGACCTTAAATAGTTCAATTAGTTGTTTGGTAGCAGTTAGCACTATTGGGAAGGCTCCTGTACAATAAAGGTCACAGCTTCCATTAAAGTTTAATCATACTAAATATGAAGGAGCATTAAAAATTTTTAAATCAACTTTATTGAAGAATAATTTACAGAAAATAAAATGCATCCATTTTAAGTACAGTTTGATGAGTCTTAAACCTGTTATATTCGTACCACCCTAAACAAGTTCCTTGCACCCACTTTGCAATCAATCAATCTGACCCACCTCCCTCCAGACAAACTTGACCTGCTTTCTGCAAGTGCACATTAGTTTTAAAAGAGCTTTTTTTTAAGTATAAAATAAGCTTCAAGTTTTATGGCATTCATGCTCATTTTGATATTATAGGATTTGAGGAAATAATGTTTCAGTAAGTATTATTTCAAATATTTAAATTATTTATTTACACTTTTACTTTTACTATTAGTTAAAAAATGTTTACTATATATCCTGGGTCACAGTTTTTTAAACTGAAACCCTTCATCTTTAATCATATTGAAATGTAACTTTCATATTTGAACTTCAGGAATTCAAAACAGAAATTTCTGCTAGGAATTTAGTCAGCTAAGAGTCCTACAGGGACAATTCAAATGGTATAGCATGAAACAATGCATGAAAATTATGCAACCAATCCATCATAAAGGTGCCCATAAAATAAGCATGGTTAGCAATCTAGTGCTTACTAACACACATTGGGGAAGGTGGGTAAGGGGGCCAGGGGAAAGGTAGATACCAAGATGAGAACTCACCAAACTAAAGCTAGAAGCAGTTACCCCCACTCTCTAAGATTTGGGGGGAAAAAATGTACCTAAAACTAGAACTTCTCTTAAAACAGATATAACAAATTCTTGGTCCTTTACACAACTGCGTCCTGCTAAGGAACATCCGTGACACCAGGGCCAGGGAGAAGGAAGCAGCTGTGAGTTGTGCTGGTATTATATACCCCCTGCCGCTCCACACCCCACTTTGTTTATTAGATGCAAGTTTTATGCTCTCTGGCTCCATACTGTCAACTGAGCTTATAAAGATCAAGATTTATTCTCAATGCCTGAGATTGCATCCTTGACAACAGATAAATAAGAAACAATATGTTCTTAATTTGTCTGACAATGATTCATGAAGCAGAAATACAACTTGATCTTCATAAGCCATGCTTGCTGTTGAGTTACAGACTATTATTCTTTGCTTGTCTCTGCTCCCTTCCGCCTCCTATTTCTCCAAATCTTTCTTCAATATAGCATTTCATTAAAATTAATATCCACAGAGAAACTCAAAATTAAAAAGGCCTAGCACATAATATTAATAGAAGACCCAACCAACAGGGAGCCCATCGGTCTTGTACTTACAGAATAATTGACCCGAAGGGAGATATCTTTCTCAGTTTGGATTTCTAGTGGGTGTGGCTGGGGGGTCTCAAAGTAGAGGCCATGGGGGAACAGGAGGACTGTTTTTAGAATATGACTATGCTAAGCAAGTTAGGGTGTCTATCAATATATGCATTTGGTGAGAAGAAAATACTGTAATTTAGGTTGTATATATGGAGATCTCACACTTCACAATCAATAAGCTTGACGTGTACATGAACACACACAGACCATGATACATGACTGGTAACTGGGCCCCAGCTGCCACCTTCGAGCATGAAGTGTTGCACTGTAATGTTGTCTGACAGGGAAGGAGGAAAGCAGTAAGGATGGAAATAGAAATGCTTCCAGTCTTATTTAAGATACACCTTGAGAGGTCTTAAAACAGCAGGGTGGCCAGAAGAAAGTGATCTTTAAGTTCTTGCCAAAACTCAGTGCTTGAACCAAAAGTCAGTGGGGGGAGAAGGAAGCTAAAAATCGGTATTTTTAGAGTCAGTTTAGATTTAGAAATGAGTTGAAAAGACAAAGTCCAAACAAGTAAGTCCAAATGGTAGTTTTTTAAATGACAACTTCCATCCTTGGCCTTTGCTGAACTCTACTCCAGAGTGCATCATGCTGTGTGCAAGGGGGATCAAGGGGGGATCAAGGCAAAAAGTGACCTGAAGCTTGGGCAGCCACACGTAACAGCTGGGGAGACCAACTCTATGCCAGGCCATGCTGCTGGCTGAAGGGCCCGCAACACCGCCAATTTCCACTGCAATGCATTGTGGGAGCTGCGGTGACACCACAGAGGTCATGGTGCCTGGGGGCTGCTCCCCATGCCAGCCCTCCAGGAAGGCCTCCTGGAGGACCCAACCCCTGAGTAAAAACGGTTCAGAAAAACAAGAACTTTTCAGCTCACTGACTTGGCTATTATACCAGAATCGTAAGGTACTTCTGAGACACTGGTGCTCAGGCCTCTTTCAAGAACCAACAAATTAGAATTTCTGGGTATGTAACTTGGACATGTACATTTAAGAGGAATTCATGTAGGTGGATTCAAATGAATGTAGGGCCAGAACTGAAAAAAAAAATGAGTCTGCCAACGGGAAAACGGGGGGGTGCTAGGGTCTGAACATCTGTGTCTACACCCCTGCCCCAAATTCCTGTATGTTGAAATCCTAGCCCCCAAAGACGGTGGTATTAGGAGGTGGGTGGTGACTAGGTCATGAGAAAGGAGCCCTCATGAATGGGAGTAGTGTCCTTACAGAAGAGACCCCAGAGAGATCTCTAGCCCCCTCTACCATGTGTGGGTACCATGAGAAGTCTGCAGCCCAGGAGAGCATCCTCACCTAACGAGGCTGGTTCTCTGATCTTGGACTTTCAGCCTCCAGAACTATGAGCAATAGATCTCTGCTGTTCCTAAGCCGCCTAGTCTGAGGTATTTTATTCCTGCAGCCCGAACAGACTAAGACTTCGAGAAAGGGTTTTCCAGGAAGAGGACACAGCTCTAGCCAAGGCAAGGGCCATGAACTGGAAAGTCATTCCTGGGTGGGACTGAAGGAGGAGCCAGAGCTGGGGGGAGCTGATGCAGACGAGGATGGCTGGCCTCCCAGCCGAGAGTCATGTGAGTGATGTGAACAAGTCTAATTTCCAGCAAGGGAGAGGAATCCCAAAAGTCATCCAGTGGGAATGGTGGCAAGGTAATTTAATGATTTTTGGAAGACCATTTTGATGGATGGCTTTGAATGTGGGCAAGGCAGGAGGTTGGAAAGCCAGCAGATGTTGATGCTATAAATTACCGTTTTACAAAAAGGAAATAGCTGCTTTCATGTTTTAGTAGAAATCTAGAAACCAAACACTAAGCACTCTCTTGGGCATGAGATAGCTGTTAGACTGCTTTGTAGACAATGCCTTGTATTAGACATATTAGTAAAAGGCAAAAGGCTTGGCCCCAACCCACCTGGGTTCAGGCCACAGCCCACCAGCTTCTGCCTAACTGACCCTGTATGAGTTACTAAATCTATATGAGGTTCAGTTTCCTCATCTATAAAATAGAGAAAGTAGTACCTACCTCACAGGGTTATAATGAGAATCAGAGTGAATGAATATATAGTAAGTACAATGACTGGAGCACAGTGAACAAACAAGAAATGTACTGTTACTGTTATCCATAATGGCGTCATCATTATTAGGCAAAATATGCTTGCACTTTGGTTACAAGGAAAAGGTTATTGAAAATTCTAGGAATTCCTCTGGACCTGTCTTCAAGGCAGAATGTTCTGGATACCTGTCCACTCATTGTCTACAAAGCTCTCCATTTTACCCAGTACTAGGCTGTTCTTAATGACTTTAACACCTCCCTAAAAGGAAAAATTTAATTTACAATCTCCAGAAAAAGTGAAGAAAACTGTAGTTAGGATTTTCTATAAAGCTGAGAAAAGGACTGTGGAGACCCTGATGCAATGGCAAGGACTGATATAAGTATCACGAATCTCAAATTCTGATTCTGAGAATCCACGATGTTTTCTATTATCTTGGCACAGCAGTCTTTCATAATTAGAAAAAGGTTTACTGGTTTAAAACAAACAAAGATATTGGCATTCTTCCTTCAACTTCTGTATTACTGACTCCTGATTCTAAAGAGGAAATGCGGCTGTGGGATATAAGCTACCAAAGAGGGCCACCTAGTGTAAAGTACGTAGATAGTGATTTATTATATTAAGGGCTTTAACATAAGAGCTTGGGGTGGAAGCAGAATACCTTATTAAAAGTGACAGTGATGTGCCACACAGCTCTATTATACCACAAGTGGTGGCCAGATGGTCTCCATTTCCTATGCTAACTAAAGAAAAGACACACAAATGTTAACAGGCGAAATGCAGGTCAGACAGAGCCAAATTATGTCAGTGACAGAAAGTCTCAAACAGGAGGCTGTGGAATCTTCCTTTCAAAGAGATCTTATAGATAGACACCCGTTTGTTTGAACGGTCTACGCTGTCTCGAAGCAGCAGGGAGGGATTTGATCACTGCTTCTCAAACTTTTTATTTGTAATCCTTGCTTCCTCATTATCCCAAATTCGTTCCTTTTTAAACAAACACAAATTTCTGCAAATGTACCTTGCTGGGGCTCACCACTAATGGGCACAGTGCCTTGCACGGAGTAGGCATGACATTAGTGACTATTTTGAGCTTGGCAGAACATAGTTAGAGGCTGAGAGAAGAATAACATAGAGGAGGTAACTCATATGCAAGTTAAAACTTGCAAGTATGACAAGACAGGCATTCTGGTGTGAGCAAATGCTCTCTGGACTCTCCCTATTTACCCTGAGTAGGTTCTACCTTAAAACACAAAAACTTTAGTCTATGAAACAGAACAACTCCCCCACACAGCCCAACACAAG